TTAAACAATAATTATTAAGCTTAGTAATTTGACAATGTGTTATTATCGCATTCTGTGTTCGATAATCAAAATAATTTCTTTTTTTTCGGTCCATTTAAACAAAAATAACTAAAAAGTCCTTAACTTATGAATTATGGCTTAGTTATTAAGTAATTTTAATCCGTTTGCAGATCGTAAATTTGCCACCAAGTGCCGTGGTATGGCCGGAAGTGGAGAGAATTCGCTCTCCCTCTCGAAATGCTCTCACATGGCCACGTACATACAACCACTCCAAGGGAAGTCCTACTCACTGTATTCTCCTGGCTGGAGTGTTGTTTACGAAATTGAGAGGATGAAAAGCGAATGTCCGGCGCATCAATCAGGTTGGTGGACGGGGTGGTTGAATCTAGGGGAGTTAGAAAACCCTGATTCCAAACGAATGGTGTACATGGACTCCAGAATCCTAAGGAAACGATTGACGTATGAACCAATTGTTGGTCACCGGCTACCATAGGACTACATCTCCTGACGTTGCTCCACTGGCTTGTGAATCAGGTCTGCAGGTGGAATGCTCCGGGTGTGATCTCCTAACTCTCCCCACTCTCGGTCATTTATAAAATCATTAATTTAACAGATTATGAAATAAATTTTTACATCAAGATGTTACTTAACAAAAAAATCATAATCCTAAAAATTGTTTACCGCACATATTTTTTTATGAAGTAAGATATAGAAGGGATAAAGGAAAGTTTCATTGTTATCTACAATCTACAAGATGCTTTTCATCAATTTAACCGATCATAAAGATTGTAGTATCAATTTCATGTTTATGATCTGAAAATTATTGCTCAATACTCATTTAATTAAAGATGACTTACTAATTCTAAACTTTTTAATCATTTTACAAATTCATTTATTATTTTAAGTTTTTTTTGGTTAGACTTTTAATAAATAAAATCTAATTAGGCAGCTCTTTAAAGTATACATGAGTAATAGATGAAAATGTTTGACGTACCATTTGTGTATGAATAGTTATTTAAAACAATGTTTTACGATATATTAAAGAGGAAAAATGTATTTGTAAAATCTCAGCAAATGAATTTGAAGTAAATCCAATGTTTCGCCTGACAATCTAGTCTAAGCTTTTTCAAGGAAATATAATCAAACATCAAAATTATTGAATATAAATAGGTACATGGTTCTCCGGTTCACTGTATACTGGATGGGATCCATGATATGATAGCAACCGATGGTTAGAGACCTTGAATGATACATGGCTCAAAATCGTTTGCAATGGCGCAAGTGCATCCACTTTTTGTGTTCTCCCAAATGCTAATCTTCTAAATTCTTCATGTTCGTATTTTTTCTCTTTTCAAATTTATTTCACTTGATTATACTTCTTCGATAACATCTTCAAACCCTAAAATTTCCAATTACTGCTTATACTCTTACTAACTCTACCACTATGGGATTTGAATCGACAACTGCATCTTTGTGCTAATGTGGTATGGCAACTGGAACTGATGTACGTACGTACAAAATTCTACGTTGTTACTGACTGACTGCCTGACGACTTTTTTAAATGAAGTATTCATTATAAGCTCGAAAAATTGGTAGCTGCTACAGGAAACCATGATTTATACAACTCAAGAAAGAATTTGATCGATGAGGTTTTATTATACACCAACAATAAATCATATCGATAATTGAATTCACTGATTTTTATGTTTTATTTATTCCACTTAATGGTCAAATTTAAATGAATGAATTAAATTGAATAGCACTTGGTATTAATTAATGGACACAATGTACAATGTCACTCGATTATACTACTGTAACTAACAAACGTCGTCCAGTGCTTCCAGGTTTTTCATAGTGATCTAGCATTAATTGAATCATGAATTCAACTATTTAATTACTATAACATACACAAAAACCCTTTCTGATTATAATCATCATATGCTCACTAGCGACTGACTTCAAGAGGTATTTCCTGGAGTTCTAATGAGATGTGACCAGTGAAGTTCATTTAAGTCTGTTGTGAGATAGTAACTCACTGAAGACAATGGTGGGCAGTGGTGCGAATGCGTGGATTGATTGAAGCTAGATGCCGGCTGAGTGGTCTACAGGTTAAACGTTAGCGTGCAAAACCTATAGATCCTGGATTCGAGATCATGGGTGCGTACTGCTGGGGAGTCCCATACTAGGATAAAACCGCCGTCCAGTGATTCCAGGTTTTCCATGGTGTTTTAGCTTTAATTGACTCATAAATTCATCTATTAAATTATTATAATATCCACAAAACCCCTTTCTGATTAAAATATAACTCAGTTACTGAGTTATATAAATATGCTTTATGAAAATATGAAAATATATCATGAGTGATTGATAAAAATCACTAACACCTCAAACGATAATGACCTTGTTCATAGTCTGTATGTTATTTCATGAATTTCTAAGATAACTCCACGTGAAATAAATTTAAATCTCCAAGGAAACAATCAAATAAATAAGGATTCAAAGGTATCTTAATAATGAAGGTTGGGAAGATGGAAGTTAAATTCATGACTCTCTGATAATTCTTATTCTTTTTTTCTTAAAGTTAAGCATGGTATCTAGTCTCTTAGTTTGCTGATTGTATTATAAACCTGCTCAACAGATTTATTTCGCAAATGAAAATAATTAGCGTGAAACATTTACTGAGCAGTGGCTGAAAAATTGCTTTGTGTTTTAATTTCCTGGACATCAGTCAAAGATTGAGCGGTTTTCTGTTAACTGTCATGTTTAGTCATTTGAAAGACACAATTTTCAGTGCTTAAAACAACAAATCCTTCTTTAAAGTTACCAACACACTATTGATAAGTGATCCCATTCATGCAGTATGATAGAAATTTTAAACTTATAGCTCTCTGTACAATTATTAAATAGTTTGATTTATATACACTCGTTTACATACCTATAGTTTAACATAATAATTAGGAAAATGGATGACAACTAAGTGTTCCATTTATTCATGTTTCTTCCCTCAGCTTAAATAGAGAACTCAAATACATCAACGTTTCTTTCATTCTCCCTAAATCAATGTAAAATGTATTTCATCATATTAAAACACAATGATATGAATGAAGAATATTCTTTTCAATAATTTCTCATCAGATTCTACAATTATCTTATATCCAAATTAACAATCCATAGAATTGGCCAGGTTTAAGGTAGAGTACATCATTTAAAATAGTAACATGTGAATTAAGGATTGTTTGTCATTAGAAATCAAGTCAAATCGTTAATGTTGAAGCTGACTAATATGAAGTGTTAACTTGAAACAGTTTATAAGTGAAATGAAATAGTGAGATTAATAACGATCAGAATAAATATGGTCAACATGGGATAAGAGAAAGAGAGAGAATAATGTAATTACAAATCAGAAATTACGTAATATGTAGAATAATATGAATTGGGTACGAATAAGTACAATAGGGAGGATGGTGAATAAATTTCTCAAAAAGATTAACAAGTGTAATATAATAGTAATATTAATAATAACAATGACAATAGTAAAATATGTGGATAAAATAAACTGACATTAATTGGAAAAGATTTCCCATGATATAGTTGAATAAAGAATGCTGGTAGGTGGCCTATATTCTTCCATTAACGTTAATAAGTGTAGGCAAATAAGTATCTCTCATTGAATTTTAAATTTTGCCTTGAAAAATATCTAAAAATTCTTAATTTTAAATCAAATTGATTGATTAGTACAGCATAGTTTTATCTACTAAAGAAAACATTGAAAAACAATAAATGATACAAACACACACTAAAATGATAGAATAATATCATTGAATTATATTTAAATGACAAGATGTACTCTTCCTTTTTTCTTATTTTAAAAGAGATAAAAATGGATCATTATGGTACCACTAGTAATGTTGTCAATAGAAATAGGTTAAAGAGAAATGACATATTGAATTGTACATTCACAAGAAAATAGATCTATGAGTTAGAAATAATACATTTTTATAGAAAAAGGAAAGTATCCATTATGAATAAGAAAAAAAGAAAAACCATCGAAAAAAAAATTATCATAATAAGGGAAAATTGAATTTTTTGTTGTACAATGAATCAATATACAATATATATGTGTTTATAAAATAAACATGTACTATCCTAGTTATGAGGTGATGATGTTCAAGAAGAACCTGGCATATTTTCACCAAATTTTGCTTGGTAAACAACACGGTTCACATTCAGTAATACCTGAATAAGGAAACCTGCAAGCACTAGATGTCTCTTTTGTCCTATTTTGGGACTCCTCAGCAGTGCGCATCTACGATCCTGCCCATGGGATCCAAACCCAGGATCTATCAGTTTCGTGCTCGAAAGCTTAACATGTAGACCACTGAGCCGTTGTCCAACTGTATCAGTGGATACGCACTGCCTAGAGGTTCCATATTAGGACGAAACGGACTATCATTGCTTCCAGATTTTCCATGGTGATCTAGCTTTAATCGATTCATGAATTCAACCGTTAAAAATTACTACAATATCTAAAATCCTACATTCTGATAATAAAACAAGTGATTGAATATATTTCTTTGGCTTTTTGATCCGAATAGCAATTGCTTTAGTCGTCTACAGGATTTTCAGTCAGACGGATTTATGCAGACTGCTGTTAACACAATATATAATTGTGAAAGACTGCTTCATTTTGGCTGTATATCCTGTCTGAATTAAATGGGCTAAAATAGAGTTGTTAACAGTTTTAAATACACCTTTACTTAACTTCACTGGAATGTGTTCATGAGTCCGAAAATACAAATTCCTAGAACACCTGCTAATATAACTTGCTCCACAGGAGTAGTTGAATCGATAGATACAAAAAGAAGTGACCAGTCTAGGTAATTTATCTTCCAACTTCGGAGTGATCATGGTAGGTGTAGAAAACAATAACTGTAGTTTACTTCCATTAAAGTTTCTTTGAATTGTTCTGTGTAATTTTTTTATTATTATTTATTTTATAGTGCAGATGAAAGACTTAATGAAAGAAGACCATGTGATGCAAGGATTTTTTCTGATGGAAGTGTACTTTGGAATCCAATGGGTATATTTAAAAGTACATGTTCTGTTGATATTAAATATTTTCCATTTGATCGACAAAAATGTGTTCTGAAATTTGGACCGTGGAGCTATGACGGGTAAGCAATTTTTTAAGTAGAAAAGGTTAGATGATCATCAAAGTTTTATTTAATGAGAAAAAATTTAGGTTCAAATGTCAAAAATTTAGTGTGTTACATTGACTATCATCATATTCTTAATGAATATAACAAATGCAAATCATAATATTGCAAAATAATAAGAATTTGCAAAAATTTCCAAAGTTCATTGTTGCTTCTGTTGACTACTTTTACTTACTTTCTTACTTTTATTTACACCACTTACCCTATCCCATGGAGGAGTATAAGCAGCCCACCAGCACTCACCATTCAACCCTGTTCTGGGCAATCCTTTGCAGTTTCTTCCAGTTGCTATTCGTTTTTTTTTATATCTGCTCCCATTTCTCGACGTAGCGTGTTTTTCGACCTTCCTCGTTTCCACTTCCCTTTAGGAATTGCAAGTTAGGGCTTGCCTCACGACTACTTCGAACCACTCAACAAATATCAAGTGCATTAAAATGCTTTTATTCCTGTATATTCTTATCGTTCACTTTCATAGATAAAATTAATGATTGGAATATTGTTTATAATTTTGTTACAGTAATTGATATCTTTTTTAATAATATGACTGTGCTTTTAATAAAGTTAGGCTTAATATTTTGAGGAAGGTAGTTTACACGTAAGCTTTTTAGATAACGGTGAAACATTTTAGTGATTTAATGGTTTACATACAACAAAGTGTACATATTCATACCTTTCAGTAAGAAATTTACGAATGATATTAAAACCTCTGTTGCGTAGGTCTATTCATATTCTAAGTATTACATTCAATATCCTTCTCATTAAAAAAATACAAGTGTCCTCATGATTCAAGATATCGGGCAATAATCTTTCGATAAAGTAGGTGAGATCTAACTAATTATCTCATAATAACTGAATCACATTGTTCAGCTCTTAGTTTCAATTGAATCACAATGCTCTATGGTCTAAATGTATAATGTCTCAACATCACTACCCAGTTTTCATTTTATTTTGCATTCAGAAGGTAATTAGTAGGGTGTTCTGAACCTTACTTTATGGTAATAGTACTCATAAATAAAACAATTTTTCATCTTGTGAAAATTTACATCTCTCGTCGAGCGACTCATTGTCATTAACAATTCATGCAACGACTGGTGATCCTTAGAACTGAGAATTTTATATTATTGTATCGCCATGTCACTTCATCTGATACTATATGCTAACTGTATTCTGTTAGTCAAGAAAATCTTTACAGATTACGTCAGCACAAAACTGTCATCTGTATAGGGTTCTAGAGATCATTAGGTTTTTGATTGAGATCATGAACTAATTGATATTAGACCACCATTGAAAACCTCGAAGCACTGGCCGGCCGTTTTTTCCTATTGTGAGACTCCTCAGCAGTGTATATCCACGATCCTGCCCGTGGGATTTGAACACAGAACCTATCAGTCTTGTCCGCGAGCGCCTAACCTCTAAACCACTGAGCCGGCCGGCATCCAACGACGTTAATGTTTAACCTCAACCAATCAACGAAATTGCGCGACCATCTTCCATTGTACTGAGATAGATACGTGATTTTAATTAATAATATAGATCAACCAAAACATTTTGATATCTCTTATGAGTATTAATAAAATTTCTTCTTGATTGTATATTTTAGATTTCGTGTTAATATTTCATTTTATGATGGTGAAAGAAATTTTCGTCTACTTAATTATATTACTAATCCTGAATGGAATTTATTAAATTCAAGTGCTGTATTTACAGAAATCTCTTATCCTTGTTGTCCAGAAAAATATCCTGATATAACATTTCATGTATGGATTAAAAGAAAATCTGCATTTTATACATATATCTTAATAATACCAAGTATTTTATTATCATCGCTTACATCAGTAATTTTTTGGCTTCCACCACCTTCACCGGCAAAAATTGTTTTAGGTAAGTGAAAAGTCTTATAATGAACTATTTTATTTAAATAAACTAATTATTTGAAATTAGTTAACAGAATAGTAACTTGAGTGTCTTATTTGTCAAATTGGACAAAATAGACTAGCGGGATTTTAATGCATGTTACTAATAAAACGTCATCATTTGCAAATAATATGATATACACTAATTACTTACATAATTAAGTCTGTTACTCCTCGTGGAGGAGCATAGGCCGCTCACCAGCACTCTCCATTCAAACCTATCCTGGGCAATCCCTTCCAGTTCTTTCCAGTTGTTATTCATCCTTTTCATATCTGATTCTATTTCCCGTCGTAATGTGTTCTTTGGCCTTCCTCTTTTCCGGTTCCCTTCAGGATTCCAAGTTAGCGCTTGTCTCGTGATGCAGTTTGATTATTTGCGTGATGTACGTTCTATCCATTCCCATCATCTTTTCCTAATGTCCTCTTCAACTCGAAGCTGGTTTGGTTTCTTCTACAATAGGATATGGCTGATGGTATCCGGCCAATGGATGTTGAGTATCTTGCGTAGACAACTATTTATAAATACACTAATTAGTGTTACATAAATCATTAACTTTTATTAAAATTATATTGAAAATAAGTAGGTTATTCAATTATTTAGTTGTAGCATAATTATATACTGTTCTCGGTTTTCGTAAGAAACAATGATTACATATAGCTAGCTGTATAACAATATCTTAGTTCCATACTCACAACTAACAATTAGTATCAACCTCGAGATTGTTCATTTTTACAAAGATAAATTACAAAAGATTTTATCTATACGACTGTATTTTATATTAAGTAATATCAAAAAAATAACCATAATCATAAGATTGGAGGCGTTTCGATTAAAAATTGACAGTTCTCTTCACAGTTATTTTGTTCAAATGAATTCAACACAACTAATATTTATTAAACTATCATAGTTAAGCTAAAATCAATACTTTAAATTACTGATTGCATAAATAATAGAAGGTGAGACCATAATTTATGAAAGACCTTTCAGCGACGTTAGACTGACCTTGAAAGTGTTCACCTAATAAGTAGGACCAAATGAGGGTTATAAAGCAGTTTGAAGAATAAAGACAATGGTAAGGGTCAGGATTTAGATTTATGGTTTTCATCACGAACTGACACTAGCAAAAATGCCAAAGCGAATGGGCGAATGAATTTCGCGTCAAAATCAAAGACCTTTTATCCTAAATCTGATTGGTTCGTCCATAAATTATAATCTCCTCATAGTAGAATAAAAATAATTTTAAGAATTTCTTGAAATCAAGTAACAGTTATAAGCATGATAATTTCTTTCTAAGCTCTGTTAAAATACAATGTAAAAACTTTTATCAGTGTTTCATTGTTGAAATTGAAAACTTGTATCTGATTGTAAGTATCGTTGCCAAGATTTGACTTGATAATTTCGAATGAATTAAGTATTGGGTAGATTGTTATAAATTAATTAATCAATATAATTGTAACATCTCACTGATTAGAAAAATTAGATTTTCTGGCGTTTCGTAACTCAGTGTAAGTCACTTCTTCAGAGAAGTTATGTATTCGCTGAAGTAGTGACTTACACTGAGTTACGAAACGTCAGAAAATTTGATTATTCTACTCATTGAGCTATTACAAATTCATTAATTTACTTATATCTGATTGTTGGATTTTAGTCTAATTAACTATAACAGTTTTTTATAGCCATTGAATCATTGATCGAACAAAAAGAAAACAGTGTAATATCGTTACTCCTTAAAAACAATTTTCTCGCATATGAACAAAGACTGTTTGATAATGAATTGGGTTTTTCGTTAACGGAAATTGATATCAACTAGATATAACCATAATAAACATGACTCCTTAAATGTGTACAAATATCAGATCTAAGTTACAAACAGAAGATTATTATCTTTATTTTATAGAACAAATTTTTCAGATACTCTAGATTCATGTTTTGAGCAATTGAATACGAGAATATGTTACTGTTTTTCCTGTTGATTAATTATTGTTTATTTTATGATCATTGTTATTATATCAAACCATAAACATGATGTTGTTTTCTAATATCATGAAAGCATCATATTGAGACGGTTTATATGTTCTTTAATGACCCGATATTTTGACGTCAGTTAGATCGGATGATGTTGTCGACGCGTTCACCACTTTAAAGGCTTGAGATCCGACTCCAGGTAGATTGTTTGCTGTTTGATATTAAAATATACATATCGTCAATCATCATATATAATCACCGACTTAAATCACGTCGGTGAATCACAGAATTAAATAAGTCCAATACGAGAATGAAAATTGAATATACATACTTCATACAATCGTTGACCAGAAAGCGATGTACAGTGGAGAAGGTGAGTGAGCCAACTCGACTTAACCAAGCGTGAATCGATATTTATAGTCAGATAATAATAAGTTACAGACATATGAGTAAGATGGGAAATGAACACATATACGCTTACATAAAAACAGTCAAGGTTGATAACCGAATAATTAACAAAGTTAAAATGTAGCTTGAAGAGAATGGATAAGTTGGTTTGTTCAGAAGCTAGAACAAACTATATGGGCTCGACATAGGACCAGACACTACAATTCAAAATAGTTGGTGCAAAATAAATAACTAGAGTTATTATGACTATGTTAATTGTTATCTGTCTATTGACTCAACTGCAAACTGTTGTTAAATGATTTGTATTTTATGCCCATATAACTTATACGAGATGATTTTGCAATAAAAATCTCTAAACTAGGAAAAATAATCGATAGTTTCGTACTCATTTAACAACAGTTACATAAATTTAATTCTGTAATTTATGTAATGGCTTGATTAAACATTGATTAGAAAGGTTGTTCAAATTTGACTAAGGCGTGGCAATTAGCACCACATCTAGGTCCAAGGTATCCTGCCAACTACTTCCAACCACTCTAGATTTATAGAATTGAGATATGTACGTCGATATGTACATATATATCACACTCATGCTCCAATGTGAATACTATAAAACGGTTTGTTGTAAGTTGTTTGGAATAACAGTTAAACTGTAGTTATGAGATTTAACGAGAACGGCTCAGTGGTCTGAAATGAATTATGCTTAATGTAAGAGCCGAAGCTTTTGGTTTAATGCAGAATTAAGTTATGAGTGCACAATGTTTAAGAGTACTAAATTAAGAAGTGAAACTTACCAAGTTCAATTTTGTTATCAACAGTTTCTCAGCCAATAACAGTTTCTAGTATGAATTATATTCAGGTTATACAATATCATAATATATTCAACAAAGGAAGAAAGACAGTGAAACCTTCACGGTTAACCCACCAAGTTTAGAAAACACAACGAACTCAAAAGTTAAGTAATCCATTCAATTACTATGCTTTACAATTTGAGCTTTATTCATCCGATTTCATTTTACTTCTATGAGCCAACAAGTTTCATTGACAGTCCCCTATATGGAACCATCAATCTTTGTTTTGTTGCACACAATATCAGTTGTAGTTTACATTTTTAGTTCATTATCATTATTACGAATCTTCATCTATTAAAGTTTTATACTTTTTTAGATATTATTATCCACTCTCAGTTAACAAATGTTAGGGGGTTGAAAGAAATTCATAGAAAACCCCGAACCTAGGTTTCATTTTAGTTTACCTTCGTCAGAAAACCGTATCCGTAATTTCTAGGTAACTGATGTTCCCCATGAGATTCGAATGCAAATCGCCTTGCTCCATAATCTAAGATAGTATTGATCACAGAATGGCGACCATTTTTATGCAGTGATCATTACACGGTGATCAATCAATTGTAAACATTCAAAGCATTCGAATACGTGTACAACTTGATTCCGCAATCATAAGTTAACATTATTTATTTATTTATTGCAACGTATGGGAGAACATAAATATTATTAGAAACGAATTCTTTTATGAAACCACTATTACATATGTCATAGAAACGAAAACAAAACATGATAATGCACTTTCAATCAATTTATTGACATAACTTGATAATTATTTCTTCATTATAAAACACTATTCATCATTTTACATAATGCATATTGTTGCGTAACGTTAGAAATAGATTTTTCTCAAATTATTCAATTTATTTTTGAAGAAAATATCATATTACACTTTCTTCAAGTAATGCATATACATAAAAGAAGTTTAGTGTTTTCAACATTTTAACCTAAATTCTGTTCAATTACTTTTTGGTTATTTCAGTTGTTATCATTATCATTATTGCCATTATTATTGTTATTATTATTATAACATGTCACTTCTCTTCATCAAGAAAATTAATATATTTTTGTATAGTTATTAGGTGTTATCAAAATGATCAAAGACAACCTAACACTTAAAGGGAAAATTTCAAAGTATTTACATCTATTAAAAGTCAATATGTTTTAATTAGTCTAGAATGAAGAAACGGAATAGAGTTTCTACATCGAAGATTTAAAATTATTATCCTCGATGTGAAGTTGGCATATTTTTGTAGTTTAATTGTATGGATGGACTATACTGAGTCACTCTAATCTATCATATGTATATGCAATGTGTTCCTAGAATTCTAATGATATGCAACTAATTAAAATTCGATATTAAAACTAACTGAAGATTAAAACCTAAAAGAGAAATTTTCAAAGATTAATTTATCTGTAGGTTCATCTTTAATAAATTCATTGGAAATACACATAAAATAGATTTTCTTAGTTGATGGAGGAGATTTGTAGCACAGGTGGATGGTCTTGAAGTTTTGATTTTTGAGATGGATGGTTTGGTCGTGAAGCTTTCATCGTTATTCTGAGCGAAATCCTACCTGAAGTTTGTGCTAATAATGTTGTTCAGAATAACGATGAAAGTTCCACGATAAAACCATCCAGCTAAGTGAACGAAACCTCACCACGATTTTTTAAGTTAAAGCTAAATTTACCGTACTACAGTTAAAGAAGAAAGTATTTGTTAAAGAATTTTTTCAGTTAAGCATTTAAGTCAGTAAATCTTTTTTTGTTAAATCAGAAGAAACTCGTGTCAGTGGTTCACTTGATGTAGTTAAGACACGTTCTCATTCACATCTACTTACAAAGAAAAAAATTTTAAACACATACTCAGCTTATCGCTTTAGTTGTCTTATACCTAGACAAATACTATCAAATCATAAGTTTGGAAGACATAATACTCAGTTCAAGAGATTTTATGACGTTCTGAAAACTGGCTCTAACGTAACATGTAAATCATAAGTGAACAAAACTCATCACTTAAAGTATGAAGTGTATCCAGTAAACTAAATTAAACTCTATCATAATACCCTTTACACACCATTTATTATCTTTAACTAGTTAATAAGTAGTATTCTATGGCTTAAATTTTGTATTCATGAAAATTCACCAAATAGAATCATTTTCTTTTTGGAAAAAGCCTATAATCCTTTGTAAAATTGATAAACGAATAATAAATTATTCTACCTTGAATCATCAATTGTGCTGTCATTATTGTACACTTAATTTTTATCTTCTTTTCACTGAATTGAATTTTAATATGAAATGTTATTATCCCTCTGTTTAACTAGTAGATTTCACTGTGTTTATTGATTAATGGGTGACGTAAGTCCTGAACTCTTAAAAACTATTTAGCTATTTGTACTATCTCTGTTCAATATTTCAACATTTTCTCGGTTGAACTTTTATTACCCACCAACCATCCACCCACCCACCCACCACAGTTGTCTAAATACATGTTTGTAGGCCAATATATTTTATGAATTTTTATGTATTTATTCTTTCTTTTCTTTGTTGATTCTTTTACTTTGATGAACCTCAAAAAAACAGAAAAAGAAATACCTAGAACGAAAAATAAGTTTCTGATATATCTATACACATATATTTAAATATACAATCAATTATCATAGTTGTTCGTTGATTAAAAAGCAATATTCTTCTTTTACATTGAATTGAAGAATGAAGAAAGTCAAATGTTAAATTAGAGAATATATCAGTATAAATTAAAAGAGAAATTAAACAAAAGAGAACTAAATAAGAAAAATTCAACAGAAAGGAGTAACAGTGTGAAAGGTAGAGAGAAAGAGGGAGAGAGAAAATAAGAAGGCAAACAAAGACGATGTAATATTGAACTTGTTGAAATATATAATTGAATGAATGTTATCATTTCTTCTGTTCAATGAGATAATCTCATTTTTCTGTGTTTGATGATTTCTTATTCACTCAGTCACTCACTCTCTCTTTAATTTGTTGAGCTTTTCATTTCGATAATCTTGAATCAAATTTATAATGTGCTTTGTTTTCTTGTTGATTTTTCATATTCCTGATTTATAACAGAATGAAATTATATATATATATATATATATATATATATATATATATATATATATATATATATATACAAATGATAAATATTTATGACCCGAAGTGACCGTTGTTTCCGACATTTTGAAAACGACAAAAAAATATTTATCATTATTTTATATAGACGTCTATTTTTTTCTTTGCTAAGCACCGATTAACTGTATGTATTCGATTATTTTAAGATTATGATATTTCATGCTTTTAATCCAATAAAATAAATAAAGAACTATTAATTATTATGGACACATTTCTGTATTTTAATCATAGAGATTTTAAAGAAATTTCACAGAAAATATCATTCATTTTTTATGAGTTTAGCTAGTCTATTGAAATAATCCCCAAATACCCTGGTATGGCCGGAAGTGGAGAGAATTCGCTCTCCCTCTCGAAATGCTCTCACATGGCCACGTACATACAACCACTCCAAGGGAAGTCCTACTCACTGTATTCTCGTGGCTGGAGTGTTGTTTATGAAATTGAGAGGATGAAAAGCGAATGTCCGGCGCTTCAATCAGGTTGGTGGACGGGGTGGTTGAATCTAGGGGAGTTAGAAAACCCTGATTCCAAACGAATGGTGTACATGGACTCCAGAATCCTAAGGAAACGATTGACGTATGAACCAATTGTTGGTCACCGGCTACCATGTGACTTCATCTCCCTATGTTACTCCATTGCCTTATGGATTAGACATTTGTGTCAAATTATGTTTTCCGGCTTCATTTATATGAACATTAATATTATAATCATGAATATCTTCAATGATTAAATAAATTCTCTTTATAATAAATATATTATTTAATTAAAATACATTTATTCATTGTTCAATTTCGATACATGTAGGTGTATTTTTCTTTCATTTTCAAACCTTTCAATTTATTATAGCAATGAATGTATTTGTTGCATTCCTTCTACTTCATCTTTTATTGGAAGATACAACTCCAGCAGCTGCAAGTAATTTCCCACTACTTGGTAAGTGAATAAAAACAGACTATTTATATATAACATTATGCTATTCTATAAAAATCCATTGTCTGTCATATTATATACTCATATTACTTATACTTGAAAATGACAAATCATAGCGATTCCCATGATTAGAAAAACTAGTGTAAGTTAAGACTTATTGACTACAAAATGTACTAGACGATTTTTGTCGAAAATACACTCATTTATTTATCGTTTGTACACCCAATTCGGTTATCATTTAGAAAAATGCTTAAAATCATAGCAGATTATACGCTGATTTTCATGCTGAGCATAGTCTACGTTCATTTAATGCATCAACATCGTATCTTGAAAAAAAAACATCACACTAAAATAAATTTATATCATACTGAGTAAAATACCACTTACCTGCACTTGTTACTGCTCATGGTGCATAAACAGCTGACCAGCAATCTCTAGCTGATTCTGACTTGGTCTTTACTTTCCAGTTGTTGCCAAGTTCTGCTCATCATTTTGATTTCTACCTCAAATTCCTAGTACAGTGTGATTTTTTTAACTGTCCCCTTTTCTATTGCCCTAAGGATTCGAAATTGGTGTACATCATTTGATCCTATTTGATTATTTACGCAGTGTTTGTCCTCTACCTTACATTGGAAATGAAACAAATATTATACTGTGTAATATTCATATTGAATTAAAAACGGAAACAACGTTGACCAGAAGTCACAGTGAATAAAATATGTAGTTTTGCCTCTTTTACTCTGTCATATCAGTTGTCATTATAATATTGGCAACAAGCAGCTCATCCATTTAAACTGCATAAATTGTTGAGAAAATTCTTATATCTTAACTATTTAACGCAATAATTGCGGACAAATTTATATCTTAAACGTTTTATATTTATTGTCTGTCATACTATGGATTTAAATGGAAGCAGTTTAACAAGTAGTATATGTAGGTTATCTCAAAGTCAACTGCCTAAACAACCATTTTAAGTAGTATGAGAATAAATATTTATCTTTGGAAAACTTAACCTTCTAATAAGTAGATAAAGATAAGGTCCGAAAATTACATGATCATCATAACAATAACAGTTATACGCAATTCAAAAAAGTCTATTCTTGATGTGGGTAATTTTTACTTGCAAATTAATAATTCAGTTGTTTTACTGTATTATTGTAATGAAAGAAGACACGGATATAGTAAACAAGTTTATTGTGCCAACCAAATCATATACTGCATTTGTTAAATATGAAGACAATACATTAAATAAAACCATTTGCACATCTTTTTTGAGTTGTTTCTTACAGATTCAATCGTTCATTCATTCGTGTTGCTATTTGGACAGCTTTCATTTTTCTTTCTTTTCTAAAATTTTTCTTCTATCAGTAATAGTTCTACTTCCAATTCCTGATACACACTACTTATGTCTGTCCACATAACTAGCACACACCACACTGCCTGTACTTAAGCGTCACTCAATAATGTTCCGTCAAAACTAATGACAATGATATCTGATAGTGGGCGGAGTGTATTTTTGAAATATGCTATAAGACAGAAAATATTTCCATAATATAACTTACCAACTTGTTTATTGAATCTACCGTTTTTGTCAGCTGATCAGTTGACTCAAATGATGTAAAAGTCAAGATATTCCATTAGAGCTAGCATTTATTTACAGTTTTTCAGTCTTCCTCTTGTCAAAAGTATTCTTCTTTTTGATAAAGGAGTTTTATGAGATTCCATTCTATAACCTTCTGTCTTTTATCAGTTTTCTTTCATAATCACAGTGGAATAATGTATTTTTTTCTTTGGAACTAAAATTATCTTATATATAATCTTTATAAAACTAGATAAGACAGGAACAACAAAATTTCCATAATGACTTGAATCAGTTTCTTTCTCCTAGTTCCTTATCAGATATTAACATTTTTTAAATTACATTGAGTAATACGATTAAATATAAGAGTTTAAGATACCTTAGTAAATTTGGGTTGATTATTTGGAATAGAAACGAAAGTCATAATACGATGCATAGAATACAGAATTTTTCATCTTAACATCATTAACTAAATTGTTATCAAACTTTAGTTGATTCTTAAATAAAGTAAAAATATCATTAATCAGCTGACAACAGAATGACTTACTTGATTATTTACGCCTGTTACCCTCAACGGAGCATAGGCCGCCGACAAGCATTCTCCAACCCACTCTGTCCTGGTCCTTCCTTCCTAGTTCTATCCAATTTTTATTCATTTTTCTCATGTCTGTCTCTATTTCTCGGTGTAATGTGTTCTTTGGTCTTCCTCTTCTTCTTTGCTTTTGAGGATTCCATGTGAGGGCTTGTCATGTGACGCAGTTGGGTGCTTTCCTCAATGTGTGTCCTATCCACTTTCAGCGCTTCTTCCTGATTTCTTTCTCACTGGGATCTGATTTGTTCTCTCCCATAGTAGGTTGTTGCTGATAATGTCTGTCCAACGGATCCGAAGTATTTTGCGTAGACAGGTGTTAATGAACACTTTCATCTTCTAGATAATGGTTGTGGTAGTTCTCTAAGTTTTCGCCCCATACAGTAGAACTGCCTTGACATTTGTATTGAAAATTCTGACTTTGGTGTTGGTTGATAGTAATAGAATGAGTTATCTCATTCAAAAGTTAACCACTGAACAATAATTGATATCAAACATTATTTCTAACTCCTGACTAAATTCTGTGCATCAAAGGATGAAGTAAAATAATATAAACTGTGGTAAAACAACTTTTTAAGATACTATAAATCTAAATTTCCAGCTCATTAACACTAATCAGTAAAGAATATCTAGCGTATTTAAAATACTCATATTATAGTACTGAAAACCAAACCCATAAATAGTATCTGAATAAATATCTACCTTTATAACATTGTTAGTTATTCTGGTATTTTATTTATACGATTAATTGTTATCTCAAGCAAACGTGTAATTTCGGACACTATTGATTAAAAGAGGTTAGTTGGTTATCTTAAATACTCACTTATTTAATAGAAAAGTCAATAGATTTTCATCGATTTTGTCAAAATAAAAGAACATTCATTCAATTCGCTCTTCTTAAATCTTAATCAATTATATATCATATACTTTAGAAGATAAACCCGGAAACTCTGTACTCAATATTATTTATGAGTACTAACATTAACATTTTGATTGAAATCATGAACCAATTGATGTTAGACCACTACTGAAAACCTGGATGCACTGGACGTCCGTTTTATCCTATTGCGGGACTCCTCAGTAGTGCGCACCCACGATCCTGCTCGCTGGATTCGAACGCAGGACCTACCGGTCTCGCGCACGAACGCTGAACATGTAGACCGCTGAGCTGGCATCGAGTCTTATTAATGTCTAACCTCAACCGATCCACAGGATTGCGCGGTCATCTCCCATTGTAGTGAGGTAGATACCTGTCTCTACCCGACACGGATTAGCTCCACTGGTCACGGCTTCTCAACAGAACTCCGAGAATTCCCTCACGAAGCTAGTGACTAGTGAGCACATGGTGATTATCAATATGGGGTTGTGGAGCTTATTAAAATTTGATTGAGATCATGAACCGATTGATGTAAGACCACCATTGAAAACCTGGAAGCATATTGGTTGTGATCGAAACTAAATTTAAATCCATTATTTTGCAAGGACTGACAAGTAATTTAAATAAAATATAACAGAAAACGTCCTATGACACAAGTAATTAGAGAGGTACATGATATAACCGATTTTATCAGTCGTTCATTTTGTAAACAACGATTACCACAGTTTATCTTTTTATTTTCATATAATAATTGAAAAGTTTCTGAGAAAGCATATTGGTAAGTTTAACCAGAAAAGTTATTTTCTAACATCAACTCTACCTTAGCGATTTAGATCAGTCGGTTTCTACAGTTAACATCACTCGTTCAATAGTTGATAAGCTGATTTTGAAGATAATTTTTAAGTGTTTTCTTCAGAATAGCAGTTTTGAGTAGACCTTTAGCACCGCGTCCACCAAACCGGTTAAAGCGCCGGACATTTGCTTTTTGTCCTCCCAATATCGTAAACAACAGCCCTGCCGCGAGAAAGCAGCGAGTAGGACTTCACTAACAATGGCTGCATACGCGCGGCCATGTGAGAGCATTTCGAGAGGGAGAGCTGACTCTCTCCACCCTTGACTGTATCCGGGCATTTGGAGGCCTACTCATTAGTTGAATTTTAACCATGAATACTCACATTTTTCGTTTACTATTAGTAACACAATTTACATTTTGTAAGAAATTAAAATCTTTGCAAGGTTTATCAGTATTTGTTTCTCATAGACTGCAGTTTTTAACTGTACTTATATCGTTTGGAGAAAAAATGATAAAAAGTCTTTTTTACTAAGGCCATTATTCCATGACTTATTGGATAAAAACTTATAAAGTGACCACGGTACAAATTACAAGTGATTGGCCCCCTTAAGACTATCTAACTACTTACTGTGTAAATATTGTAATGGTATAACCTAATCCAATTTATTTCAACAAACTAGTAATCGTGCATTTACGTCACTAGTCCCTCATACGTTTTCGAAAATCTGTCAACTTGTCACTGTGATTATTATTGTAATGCCAGCAGAGAGATTCTGTTCTATAATTTTTCTCTCCTTTCTATTCTTTTGCTCCAAATGACTTAATCACCCTAGAATTCATGCGTGGAAAGCTCAGTGTAAATAAATTATAAGTATTTTACTTAGCTTACCCATTCTGATATAATGAACTCTGTTGAATCGCGATAAATCAAATGCTCATACAGTTCAAGATAGATATTGCTTCGGCAATGTTAAGAAGATGGAACATAACTACCTTTCACAGACTTCTGCTTACCTTGTAAATAACTGTAAATGAAAAGCCTGTCTTGATTGAGTGACCTATGTTCGCACGGTGTTCGATTATTGAGCTTCTTATTGAGTCAAGTGGTGTTGCATCGACTGGGAAACGAATCCGGACTTCCAGCGTGGCAAACGAGCATTCTACCATTGAACTATTGCCGAAGCAATAGACATACATCTAGGGAACTCAGAATTGTGTGTCTAAAAGATAATAGATAATTGTTTTAGTTTATAATGTTGAGAAACACATTAAAGTGAAATTTATTGCAATATTTCATTTTATGTTAAACATTCCTTACTGTAACTAAACATACATAATATCGGATAAATTAACAATGATGATAACTAACGAAAATAATAATTGTAAAATCTCATTTGATGCATTAACCCATTGCAACTTCTTGCCATAATAAATTAATCCATGTGTACTTTTTCTTCATGTTTTAGGCGCATATTATTGTTTCAATATGGGTGTAATTACAATTTCAATGTTTTTATGCTGTATAACAGTTAATATACATTTTCGAACAGCTGAAACTGAACAACCGTCTAAATGGTTAAGAAAAGTAAGATCATTTTTAACTAAACTAAATGTATAGCTGTTTTAATTCTTTATTGTTAAAAATTCAATCCATTTTCATTATTACAAAGCAGTAAATAAATGTTCGTTCTACAAGATAATGGTTAAATTAATATACAATAAATGAAATTTGGTTAGCTGTGAAATCCAGGATGCACGTTATATCCTATTTCAGACTAGTCAGTTGAATGTAGCTGGATCCCATAGTCAAAGTTCATCCTAGGACTTCAACCTAGTACCATTTGCTCCATCCAAACTATCACAAATTGAATTGAAGGTTGAATTAACGTTTTACTTACAAAAATTACTATTATAATTGACTATTAATGATAACTTTCAAGTGTTCCTATACAATAAGATATCAATTTGATTCATAGATGTTATCCAAAGTCATATTTTTCTTTATAATACACGTTTTGATTTTGCTACTTATCAAATCTAGAAGGAGTCTAAAGGTCATATGTTTATTTTAGTCACCTATCTAATGAATTTCTTGAACAAACTTCATTCGAGAAAAGATAGACGTATTTCGTCTTTTAAATAATTAAAGTATTTAGACAGTGAAGTAGTATGGAGTATATAACTTTATTGATATTCAGTAATTTTTAAACATTTTATTGTTACTAACACAAATTTCGAACCAGACTACATAGTAAAACATTGGAGTTATTTAGTTTAAATCGTTAGGTCTTCTAATGCAAAAGTAATGTTCTTTTTAAGTCAATAAAATGTCTGATAATTTGGGCTGAGCATAGTCAATTCAAAATTCCCGCTCGAAGGATGTAAATTGTGGTTTGGAATACTTAATAGTTTTTATTCTAAACTGACCTCATAATCAATCCACAAAACAACATACCTTTTAAATAGACCAAGAGTAAAGATTGGTTCAGAATAATATGAAATCATTTTATTTCACTAGGTTCTCATCAGCCGCTTACAACCTAAAACATTTGAAAATCAGAGTTATCACAGATATCGACATACTTATACATAAGAGGATGATTAAGGATGAATATATGTATCATGATGTAGCGAAGATTCCGATAGATTTAATGAGGTCATAAGAATTTTTTCTCAGATAAACAACTTTTGGGAGGAAAAGTTCCAGGACATAAGCAATGAGTTCTTTGATTTAGATCTAGACAAAGCCCTCGGGTGAAATTTTGTTCACTTGTGTTTGACAGAAGGTTGATAATCTTTTCTTTTTTATTTTATTTCAAAATATATGAAGTGGTAATGTCTGCGCGAGTTATTTAAGGCAAACACTTCAATCTCCAAATATTAGATCTCACTACACCGCAAGCTCAAGAATTTAAATAGTATAGCTTAGTCGAAGGTTTTCTGAAAATATTTTTTGGATCGTTTCATTCTGCATCCCTATTAATAAAACATTGATTAACGGCATCGAATTACTCACTTATTCGTCACAGATAAATGAACATTCCTACTAGTAAAGACTTTATTTGTTTTAAATACTATAATGAGTGTTCATTACCAACATGTAATCAATAATTGATGGCTTAAGGTTTTCAAATAAACATCGATAATTGACATTTTAAATCTTCCGGAATTTATTAGGATTAGCTTCTGTAAACTGAATAACTGAATGATACCTTTTTCATTACTGTGCTAAGTTGCATTGTTAGATATATGCATCGAAAATCTTCATTACACCACTCAAGTACTGGGCGTCATTTTCATGAAGCTTGTTACATATATTTCGTAAAACTAATATTTAACTTCATTTTGTATTGTTCATTTGATTCTTCCAATTGATGTTTAGGACTGCAAATGATCAGTCTCTTATTGACATATGTGCATCTTGTGACGACTGCCTTAAGTCACAAATATTATAAGCAAAGATAAGTGGTGGCTAACAGTGGAATCCAGGACGCGGATTTCGCCCTATTTGTGACTCGTCAGTTGGATGTACCTGCATATTATAGTTGGTGTTTACTCCGGAACACTCTGAGATGTAGATGGATCCAGCTGACGAGTCTCAAATGGGACGAAATGCGAGTCCTGGATTCCACTTCTAGCTATCATCTATCTTTGCTTATAATATTTGGCTTTTTGATTGTATACTTTTTAATGAAGCATTCAGAACTACCAAACTTCCTACATGCTTTTCTCGATAATCATATTATCATCGATAGTTTATTTTTCTTAGAATTGCCAAAAGAGGATTAAACATAATCAATTTTATAAATTAATTAATATATTTGTAATATCTCAATGAGTAAAAAAATTAGATTTTCTGACGTTTCGTGACTTCATACAAGCCACTTCTTTAAAAAATAAATAACCAAATAATCAATTTTAACGTATAATCAATGTATTAAAATGTCATTTATATAGGCCATTGAATAACAACTAAATAAATACTCAATACATCTTTTAAAACAAAATATATACTACTTATATGGTTTGTATAATTCTATTTTGAATAGACTATTTTTTTCAAGAGAATACAAAATAATAATGAGATATTCTTTATAAACAATTAACAACAATGTGTTACAACAAATATCTATGTATATAAACAAATAGTTAGCTGTGATAGTAGTCATGAATATATCTAATAAAATTATATTCTTTGGCATAGATTCATTTGTAATTGTATATATTTATACTACTGCTACTACTACTAATAATAATAATAATCTAGGCAGGAAGTGGGTGTAACTATTGTTGTTTCATCCTTAAATTATTCACAAAAATACGTAGATAACAATAACTATGTAGTGAAAGACAATGGGGGAATATATATATATATATATATATATATATATATATATATATATATATATATATATATATATATATATATATATATATATATATATATATATAATCTTATCAAGGAAACAATGATTTAAAAAAAAGCTATACTTTGTTATTCTTTTTACATTGTCTCCATTGAATGACTTTTATATGGGGGGATATTACATAGATTATTATTTATGCTATTCATATATTATTACTGTTTGAAGTAGTGTTTAGGCAAGATAAGTAATTTGAGAATAAACTCTATTCTGAATAAATTGATCTCCCTATTATTGTAATTACTATGTATATTCACATTCAAATCAATTTTTATCTTTTCTTAAAAAATAATCATAAAAAATCAAGGTTTTAATGAAAATCGAATTATGGAATATGGCAGTAAACTTAGTTCACTGACAGATATTTTCAGAATGTTGAAGATCGTTTACAGAAGCATTTCACAGTGAATACACACTTATATTTTAATGTATACATGAAGTAAATTTGCTGGCTTGATCATAACAATAAACTTCAAAGTTATCCCAAAGCCTCACAGGCTACTTTTTAATTGTTCTCTGAATAAGGAAGAAAAAATAACGTTTCTGATTGTTTAAGACATTTTTGTTTTAAGAAATTTTTATAAGTTGTTAACTAAACATCAGAATCTCCAAAATTCAAATTTTTGTATATTATGAAGTTATGGGCAAACTTAATTCAAAAGATACAAGTAGACGTTTAAGATTGATTGAAGTTAGACACTAACACCGTTGGATGCCGGCCGGCTCAGTGGTCCAGTGATTAAGCGCTCGCGCGCGAGACTGTTAGGTCCTGTGTTCGAATCTCGCGAGGCGAGGTCATGGATGCGCACTGTTGAGGAGTCCCACAATAGGACGAAATGGCTGTCCAGTTCTTCCGGGTTTTTTATGGTGGTCTAACTTTAATTGACTCATGATCTCAACCATTAAATTTAGGATTTCGCTTAGTATTTATCACAATTGTCAGTTAGCAATCTGTATGTTGGTTAAAATGAAATTTGATAAATTCTAACTAAATCTAGTATCTATAAGAAAATATAAATCAACTTGATAATATAACATGCATTTGTTATATACAGTTTAAAATCAACTCTTTTCACGAACAAACTATATTTTCTGAATTATATTCTTCCTTTATAGCCAGAATAGTTTCATCCTAATATACCTTTGTTTAGTTATGATGAGCTGTAGTTAACTAAAAATACCGATCTCATTCCATGATTATGTAGGACTGTTGTAATTAATTTTAAAAAGAATTCTCAAACCTTGTTTAGTTAATAGTTGGTAAGCTTTTTAAAAGTTATAAATATTTAGTGACCCGAGATCTGACACCAGTTTGATCGTTTCTGATTGCTATTGAGATATACATCGTCATTCCTCGTATATAATTATTGACGTAAATCGGGTTGGTGAATAACGGAATTAAATAAGAAAAGTACGAGAATGGATTGAGAATATATATATCGTACAATCATTGATCTGAACAGATAATCAGAAGGACAAAGCGAATAGGAAAGGGTGAAATGAAATGACGCGCAGTGAAGAAAGCGTGTGAGCCAACTCCATTTAATCAAGCGTTAATCGATATATATAATCACACAAAAATAAGCTACAGACATGTGATGAATGGGGTAAGAAGGGTACACATATAAGCTTACATAAAAATAGTCAAGGTTGATAAGTGAATAATTAACAAGGTCAAAATGTGACTAAAGTAGAATGAATAGATTGGCCTGTTCGAAAGCTAGAATAAGGGATATGGGCATAACATAGCAACTGACACTACAAGTATTCTGAGATTATGCATAACTAAATGTAACAATGTAAAAGATGAAAGTGTTTTGAAAGGTTATTTGTTAGTTTCATCAATTTTTTCGCCGTACAAACATCATTTTCTATATGGTTCTGTTAGAAAGTTACTTCATGAACTCTTCAGCTCCTACCCTATTTCTATGTAAACTGAATTGATTGATCATGGTAAACATTTATAATTTTTTTATACTGGAAAATTGAGCTATTTTATACATGTTTCTCATAAAAAATCTGTAAAAACTCACATCTCATTCATGAAATCAGTGCTTATTTTGAATATTTAAAGTACACGGGTTTATTTCATTCCAAAATGTTTGTTGCTCATAATTTAATAAATAATCATTTGTGTCACTATGTTACTTAAATCATCATAAACAAACAAATGCTGAGGAGTCCCATACCAGGACGAAACGGCCGTCAAGTGCTTCCAGGTTTTTCATGGTGGTCTAGCTTAAATTGACTGATGATTTCAACCAGTGAAAATGCTTATAGCTTGAAAATTATTTTCATCATGAATCGATAATGGCTAGAAATAAGCTTAGACGAAGAATTATCAAACATTATATTTACTTTTTTTCTTAGATTATTTACACTACTTCGAATAAAGTCAAATTTGTTGTGAAACTTTTAGCGTCTCAAACAAATTAGAAGTTAACAACTAGTGGAATATTTCATTTTAATGGTTGAATTCATGAGTCGATTTAAATTAGACTTAAGGCCCGGGTTTCGAGCCAATAATGTAGGATCACAGATGAGCACTGCTGAGGAATTCTATACTAGGATGAAATGGCGTCCGGTGCTTTTCAATGAGGGTCTAGCTTAAATTGAATCATGAATTCAACTATTAAAATCACTACAATCTCCATAACCCCTCATTCTGACAATATTTCATTTTACACACAATTTTATAGTAGCCAGAAATAACACAAAATATTATTGTCATTAATAACAACTTTGATGAGAAAATCTATTAGTTTTAAGTTACTATTAGTGGAATTATATAGGAATATAAGATACTATAAGAGTGAGGATACCAAAATTTTCAGGATGAAAAAGGTTAAATTTGTGTTGAAACTTTCTAACCACTGAAAATTGTTTAGTTTTATGTCCAAGATAGATGCGATCATTGCAATTCACGTTTTGGTGAGGCTATAATATATAGACAACCTTTGAGCAACACTAAGATGTTCTTGAGAACGTTGGCCTACTTACTAAAGCTAAATGAGAGTTATAAACCTGCGGCAAGGATAAAAATTATGATTTATATTTGGTGGTTGGGGTTAGGAATTAGATTCTAGATTTTTCATCACGAACTGACATCTGCTAAAATGTCGAAGTGCTATTTAGCCCCGCCGATAGGTTTAATTACATAGTATAATCAAAAATAATAACAATATCAACAAATTTACAGTATGGTAAACTACAGAAACAAATCATTAACAGAAGTTGAAAAAAAGAGAACATCATGAACTGAAAAAAGTAGATCAAAAAATTATTAGAAGAGTAGATCGTGTTTAGGAGATCCCAAGCTTATCGGATTCAAATATAAAGATTAGTTTTTACTTTAAGTATGACGTAGAGCCCAAGTTTGAGTCATTTTGGCAGCGAACAAACCAGTGGTATTATTTTTGTAGGTTTTCTAAATTCGATTTCAGAATCATATTGTGTAACATACACCAGATAATTCAGTTTTCTTGTCTAATATTTATTTGAAAAAACTTATTACATTTACGCTAAAATCTGGAACCAAGTCATTGATCATCTTCATGGCCAGTAAATTTATTCATCTTAATTGATCACATTCTGTTATGATATAACTAATTGGTGGATACACTTGTCTGAAAATGTGACACTTATTTGTTCATTTTTATCAAGTGAATAATCTCCTTTATCTCACTTTTATATGTTACTTTCATTCTTATTACCATCTGTCCACTACATGACTTAAAATTTGAATCAACTGTAATTCACCTGTTAATAACTCAATAAATCCCTATTTTATTTAGGACTGCAATGTGTAAATACGATTGTATAGCTCCATCCAGTAGATGTTATCGTGAGAAATAAAAGTTTCTTCTCTTAACTATTTTAATTTTGCTTAAATGTAAAACATTGGGTCTAAACTCGTCGGTTAGATACCATGGCTTTCTTTCAACATAACTCAATACTCATACTTATATCTTATAACCGTTTGTAGTTTTCTATTTTAAATTTATATGCATTTTTTTGTTTCTTCTAACAGTTCACTTCATTGATGGGACGGATACTTTTTATTAACATTGATGCACTTGAATTAGTTGAAACAAAAGACAATTTAGAAATGAATTTATGTTTACATCGATCAACACAAAAATCTGTTAAAATGTCATCACATGTAAGTAATTCTAGTAGACAATTCAATCATTCCAATATTTATCCACATTGTAGTTTAAATGACTTAACTGAAATCGTTTCATCATTTGTGCCTAAATCTTCTAGTTCAACATCAGCATCATCATCATCAGCAGCATCATTATCAACTCATGATTATCTACACAATAATACACTTCAAAATGATTTTATAAATTCTAGTAATCAATGTCCACATTGTACAGTTCAATGGAATACTTCAAAATTATATCCACTTCATTCTGAATCATTAAATAATAAAACTAATAACAACAATATAAACAAATCTTATGATTCATTTAAATTTCCAGTTTGTTCAGAAATTAATACACCTTGTTCATGTTATTATTTTAAACAAATATTATCTCCATTATGTTATTTAAGTAATAATGATATATCAAATAATCAAAATCAAATGCATAATAATATATCACCTAATATAAATTCACATTATTCATTACCAATAAATACATATTCAAATGATCAAATGATTAGATCAGATTATTTAAATAATTATCCTATTGAAAATATAAATGATTTAAACAAATGGAATAATGAACATTATCCTTATTTAAATCAAGCAACATTTAAATTTAAACACAATTATAGTAATAATAGTAATAGTAATGGTAATAATAATAATAAAAAATTACAAAAATTCTCAAAATCACTTTATTGGAATAAATTTTTAAAACAAAATAAACAAAATAAAATTTTATTTAAATCTAATTCAAAATTAAAAAATTATTATCCAATTAATTTTAATTTAATTTCAACAATTAATAAACAAAAAAATTATCAATCATTAAAATATATTAAAAATGATATTGATTATATAACAAAAGCTGCTAGACAATTATTAATTGAATTAAAACAACGTGAATTTAAACAAAAAATTATTGAACAATGGAAAATAGTTGGTATTATATTAGATAGAATATTTTTTATTCTTTATTTTATTACAATTTTATTATCAGCATTATTATTTCATCCAACATTAATTGATGATTATAATGATGATTAAGGATAGATTTTATTGATTATTTATAAATTAATTAAAATTATTGGTTTTTATAAAATATGTAAACATTTCAAGTGTTGTCTTAATGTTGTTCTTGTTTTGTTCTTTTTTTCTTCATTATTCTGTTCTATATTTTCATAATTAATATGATGAATCAATCTTAGCTAGATCATTATTTAAAAATCTGAAGTCACTGAACGACCATTTCTTTTAAGTAGTGAGATTTCCTAGCAGTTTATATTTATGAACTTGTACATGAGAATCGAAACCGAGCACCACTAGACTTGTTTGAACACCTATCTTTAAACTAGTAGGAAGAAACGATTGTTCAGTGTTTCTAGGTTTTCAATGTTGATACAGCTAAGATTATTTCATGATTTTGATTGTGTAAATATAGGTCAATATATATTTGAATGTTTAAATCAGTTATGTTAAGCAAACAACAAAACTTACCATATACTAGTCTGTCGTGTTCTACCAAATATACGACATTATTTGGGTAAACTCACATCTATTCTTTGAGGTAACCAAGGAAGTAGAGCAATCTAGCCACCAGGTAGGTTGAATCAGGCCAAGCAAATGTTACATTATATGACTCAATATTACATAAGTCAAGTATTTATTATCATTTTATTTCAGAGCTGTTAGGATGGCTCCGAAAAGCATGACGAAGCCTCCAGAGTTTCTGAAGGAGCTGAAGAAATTCCGTTCAATCAGAATTTGATAGTCTTCTAGTTTATCAACGTGGCATGCTATGCTTGGACAATTGCATGACTTTACTCCTTGGGGATTGACTGAATTATAGTGATGTTGTATCCGATCCTAAAAACTATAAACACCACTGTTTTTTCTGTAAATTTGTGGCTCTTACACAGTAGTTTCTACTCTCGTTTCTTCCGCTCTTTGATTTACGACTGTTGAGGTTCTACACGTTCGAGTACCGCCAGCTGTGTACTGTATTCTGCCATAATTAAGTAGAGGACGTAACAAAATTTAGTAGAAGTGGCTTATTGAAGGGACGGGAAAGGAAATATAGTCCGACATATAGAGATATTGTAAATGTTGTTATTGTTTAGTTATTACCAAGCGTACTATAAATCATTTAGCTGATGTGTTAAAACATCACTTATTTTTACCAAGTAATAACTATAATGAAATTCAGACTACTTCTTAAGGATATTCTTACTTTCATATATTTTCATCCGCAATATCTTAAAGCAATGTAACGAACGAAGACTTGGGTGGTGCAAACCAATTTTTTTCTATCAATACCATACACTGAACTTGTAAAATATGATGACAATACATTGAGTACTACATTTTCACGTCCTTTTTAAACTGTCTGTTACAAACTCCATGATTCTTCCATTCATTTCACTATCTGGACATCTTATGTTTTTCTTTCTCTTCTAATGTTTTTCTTTTGTCAGTAATAGTCTTATTCCTAAATTCTTATAAATACTGATCGTACATGCCCATATGAATATTATACACCACAGCAGTACCAAATAATCCCAGCCTTATAGTAACCACATTTTCCTAGGAATTATTTGATATATTTGATATTATTGAACTGCTCGCAAATCTGTCTGGAGCAAGCTAAACTTTACTACTGATCATAAAACCGGGTAAAGGAGATAGAGTTTTGTCGGAATAACGACCTTACTCACTAACTTAGACCTGCTACCCCTCTTGGAGGAGCATGGGCTGCCAACCAACACTCTCCATTCAACTTCGTCCTGGACAATCCTTTACAGTTGTTTTCAGTTTCTATTGATCCTTTTCATACTTGCTTTCGATTCCCAATGCAAGATGTTCCTTGGTCTCTCTCATATACTCTTCCTTTCATAATTTCAAGTTAGCGTTTGTCTCGTGATGCATCTTGGGGATTTCCGCAATGTATGTCTTATCTACTTCCTGCATATTTTCACGAATTCCACTTCTGTTCAAAGCTAGTTTGTCTTCTTCCACAGTAAGCTGTTGCTGATGGTATCCGGCTAACAGACGTTGAGTAACTTGAGTAAACAATTGTTGAAAAATACTTGTACATGTTTGATGATGTTTGTTGTAGTTCATCACGTTTCAGCTTCGTACAATGAAGCTATCTTGACGTTCTTATGGAAGATTTTGTTTTTGACGTTGACTGAGTTGTTTAGAGTTCCATATGTTGTTCAATTGTGAGAATGCTGCTCTTGCTCTGCCGATCCTTGCTTTTATGTCTGCATACGATCTTCCTCGTTCACCATTGATCCACACCTTCCATAGTTTCTCCATCAAGTGTGATTGGGTCGGTGTTCTCCTTGTCGCATCTGAGGATCTTGCTTTTCCTGGCACCGATAGTCGTCTGATTCCTCTATAGTTCTTACACTTACTCAGATATCTTTTGTTTTGTATCTCGTGGAAATATCCTTCTTTTCAATTTGTCGGTACTTCTTTTTCCTCCCTAATCTTCCTGAACAGAACTTGGAGCAAGTTTGCATTTGCTTCTATGTCCTACTACAGTGCTTCGGCTGGTATATTATCATATCTTGCTACTTTTCCAAACTTGGATTGTCTGACATCCATCCTGGTTCCTTTGGTCGTTGGTTGAGTGACATCTATAGGAAGGTCTGTAAGTGCTGCTTTGATATCTGGTGGGTTCAGTAAAGCTGGCCTATTCAAGAGTTCCTCAAAGTATTCTACTCACTTCGTCTTCTGTCCTTGAATTTCAACGATTGACTTGAATTCTTTGTCCTTGACCGGTCTCTCTGGTTTACTATATTCCCCTGCTAGTTTCTTTGTCATGTCATATGGCCGTTTCATATTTCCTTCGCTTGCAGCTTTTCCAATGTCGTTGCCAGGTCTTCCACGTATTTCTGATTGTCAGCTCTAACACTCCTCTTCACGTGTTTGTTAGCTTCTGTGTATTCAGCTTGTGCCTTGACTTTCTCTGTTCTTGTTTGGCTGCTGATTATTGCTATCTTCTTGTTGTTCCTTTCTTGAGTCTTGTCCAGTGTTTCCAAGGAAATCCATCCCTTATGATGATGTTTCTTACAGCTCAGAGCCTTCTGAAGCTTGTGCTTTTTTGATCACTTCCCTGTTGTCCACCACCATAGTTGCTTTTTCTTTGAGTCGATCTTGTAAGGCTTGGAACCTGTTGCTGAGAGTTATCTTGAATTGTTTGAGTTTGTCAGTATGTCGAAGGAAGTCTATATTAAAACTTTGTAATGCTGTTTCTCCAGTTTCATCTTGGAAACTACCAGTGATCTGAAGCTGCGTCAGCTCCTCTCTTCATTCTCACTTCTTCCATTGTTTTTCTGAATTTTTTAGCGACACAAATGAGATTTATCTAGTTCTTCGTAGTGTAATCCTGTGAGACCCATATAGCTTTGTTTATGCATCTGTGTAGGAATATTGGGACGCCCATAAACATTTTGTTAAATGCACATAGGCTTGCAGATCTGTCACCATTTTTATTTCTCTCCCCCGAATCAGTGTATGTCGTCCCATGATATCTTCATCTTATAAGTGCTTTACGTGCTACTTTGGAGAGCATCAGAGCAAATCCGTGGGTTTGTGGAGCATTTTCTTCTTTATGTCCAGAGTACAATAGCATCTCTCCCGAATCTAGATTTTTAGTCCAGCGTTTGCCCAATAGGTTTCACCTATTCCAAGAATCATCATGTTGTATCTCCATATTTCTGTAGCTGTTTCATTGGTTATCCCAGATACCCACATTTTCCGAACATTCCATGTACCTATAAAAATTGTTGTTCTGATTATTAGGAGGGACACCGGCCAAAAAATCTCGGCTTTTACTATAAAGCGTCATAATTCTTCTAAATGAAGAACCTTCAGCTCAGAGAGTAGACTTTACGTGATTTGGTTTGTTTTTTGTGATAAGTGTTTTCAGTAAGGTTGTTTTCTATGAGATGGGGTATCTGAGCCCATGCCCAACCCTCCTTTGTTCAGGATCGGGACTAGCAGTAACTCTATAAGTGCTACAGGCAGGGTTTGGAAAATCTCGCTCGAAAACACAAACCCAAACAAACTAAATGATTCGTTTTTACACTGTCCTAGGTTCTGAAAGGTCTTCGTGAATGACACTTATGATATCTAGTTATGAAACTCACGATTCCTTGGGATTCAAATTAATAGCAGCAATTAACGAAGGTGTATAGAGATCCTGGACAATGTAAGAGACCAAAAAGACGACTTGGATAGCGGCAGTAGTGCCTAGGCAAAACCTGACAGTAGTATACATGAGAACCATGGGATCCAAGCTGAACTGAAGAAGCCAGCTTAGGGAGATTTACTGTCGCATTCTGATGACGAAGAGGAAAATGCCCCATCTAAGTACAATAATGTTTACAAATGTAGTCCAAAGAAGCCCGAAGAGGGCTTATATTGCTACCTCAATTTATGAATAAATAGATTCCTGTATCATTTTTTGTCGCTTATTTCTGGTTTGGCACTTGGGAATGGTCAATTGCACCGTATTTCATTTTTGTGTAGTGACCTACTTTTATCAACAGAACGCGATTGGTGTAATGGAAACAATTACTATTATAACCAATTGTACCATGATTGTTTTACTGTACTTGTTCTTTAACTGTACCAAAGACATTCTTTCTTTCGTTGACCGTGACCTTATATGAATTCGGTTACGCTCAGTAACCCTACTTGTAATCTGGCACGATCTCGGTCGCCAGCAAATACATCACGACTACAGCCATCAAGCGCCACTCGACGCCATACTACACTTATTTTGACCATGAATACTTTAACTGTGACATTGTGTATAGAAGAATTATGTGATGATGTGAACAGAATAAAAGAAGAGATAATGGAGGGAAACCGGGAGATCTGTATGCTTTGAACAATATCTTCATATGTAGCACCGTTTACCCCCACAAACGAAAATGCTAAATTGATGTCACTGAACCACTTCCTTATCAATAAAATTCTCATAACGTTCATGAAAAATGTAAGAACAAAGAGAGAAGCTAATGTAACTTCAGATCACCACATGGTGATCGGCAAGTTGAACTTGATCTAACCAATCACCCGAACAGTGTAATAAGCAGTACTATAAAATTTTATTAACTTGTCGCTATACGATAACCTTTCTGACTATAAAAAACGTTTAAAAGCGTGAATAGAAACGCCCAATAGAATCTCCGTTGACGCTATAGGATATATTGGAGAACCGTCACTATCACATGTAGCTATTACAACAGATATTTGTCTATGAAGGAAAGCTCACGGATTTATTCCAATTGAAACCTAAGGACAGATAAAGTTATCTGACTTCTTTTCTCTCTTGCTGATGAATTTTGATTAGATCATGTAGATTTTTTCATCTCAGGAAAAGCTCGTAATACAGTAGACACAGTCCATACAGATGGATGGCAGATGACTCATTCCTTTCACCACATACATAACAACAAATGAAGACAAAT